TAACTACATCATCATCCCACCACCCCTGGGGAACTTCCAATTCATCAAATGTTATGTTTTGGTGAAAATTAAATTCATCCAAAGGATCGACTAGACTATACACGCTTCATACCATCATCAGAAAAGTTCTCGAAAGTAGGGAGCACTACTCAGCCATTGTTGGGAGGTTGGACCATTGAGATCTGCTAGAATTCAGTAAGATGCATGCTCCATCACAAGAAAAAAGAGCCAGCAGCACCAAATTGCATCCCAACCCAGAGAAATCATTAAATCCATAACATTTCATTCATGCTAATCAATATTTTGTAGCTTTTGACCATCGATTCATGCAGTTTCCAAACAAAATTAAAGAGTACTCCTTGTAAATGCTACAATTATTCCTTTCTCCCAAACGCCAGCCAAATTCAATTCGTCAATCATCTTCTACTGCCCCCTCTCTTCTCACCAGCAACTTACTCCGCTCAAGGCCCAACATTATACTTCAACTTGATACCCATAGCCGCCAACTCAACATCCAAATACTTCAACACACCTGGGACAGCAACAACGGTTGTGTCCTCACCACCAACCCACCTCTGACCCTTTCCATCTTCCCATACCTCTCCTCCACCAAACTTTCCTTCCGCTCTCGTGGCACATTTTCTGCATCTCACCACACCCGTTCCTTTCTTCTTGCTTGCAAATGCTGAGACTGTAGGCTGGGTCGACAAGAAAGTACCACACTCCTTGCAGATCCATGATTTGGTGTAATCCGAACAGTTTAGTAGTCTGTCTTGTAACAAGAAAGCTGTACCGTGAGCCAACAGAGAATCACGTTCCATCTCTCCCACACGGATACCACCACCCTTCTTTCTACCTTTGATTGGTTGACCGGTGAGTTGTGTAACTGGACCAGTGGTTCTGACTTGGTATTTATCGTTTACCATGTGACGAAGACGTTGGTAATAGACAACTCCAATGTAGATATCGGCGTGCAACTCCTCTCCGGTGATACCGGAATACATAGGTTCGTTACCGTAGTAATTGTACCCAGCCTTCATCAATTGATGCCCGAAATAATCACCCGCCTTGTGCTCCTCATCGAACTTGAATGGTGTACTATCTTGCGCCAAACCATGTAATGCTCCTGCTTTTCCGGCCAAGGACTCGACGAACATACCAATAGTCATACGAGAAGGGAAAGCGTGAGGATTGATAATAGTATCAGGTTGAATACCAGACTCCGTAAATGGCATATCGACTGCTGGCCACTTTTGCGAACAAACACCCTTCTGTCCGTGACGACTTGAAAATTTATCTCCAATGACTGGAGAACGTGGAATGCGAAGTTTGACAGAAATAGCTTGACAAGGCTCTATTCCGTTCTCGTTTCCAATCAATCTTACTTCTTCGATGAATGCAATTTCAGTCTCCTTGTACTTCTCGAAGTGAGTCTGACCATCTCGATTGACGTATTTTCCATTCTCATCCATCGAAACCGTGTGCCATGCAGCAATCAAATCCCCATTTTGAACCATGCGCCCGATGAACGGCAAACCATCCTCATCGATGGCTGCTTTCCACTCAGCTTTCACGAGTCCACCAGGAGCGAAACCAAAGAGCTTCTTGATATTTCTGGCAGACCGAGATTTGTGTCCTTCTTCTAATTCGTACTTTTTCGTCTTGTAGATTGTTCCATGACCGAAGCCGCGCTCGTGCGCGGACTTGTTGATAATCATAGCATCGTCCATGTCGTATCCGGTGTAAGAAATGACGGCAACCACCGAGTTCATTCCATTGGGGAAATTGTCGAAACCATAATCGTTATGGAGTGGTGCGCGAACAATTGGAGTTTGTCCGGTTTGGAGACGATAAGCCTTGTTGTCGGTTCTGTAACGGATGGCAGTTCCAGGTGTACCCATAGATTGTTTACCCATCTGACATTGATACATGTTTCTGGGCGATTGGTTGAAATCGGAGAAAGGAGTCATGTTGGCAAGGATGGAGAGAATATGAGTAGGGTCAAACTCGACGTGAGTGTGTTCCCCGGCTTCAATCTCCTGCTCGGTGACAGCAATAGACATAAAAGGTTGCTCAAGTGGGCCAACAAAATCTTCTTTATCGAGCGCTAGATATTTCACTGGTCTGACCATTCTAGCTGGCGCAGCAGAAAGATAGATACCTGGGTATTGTCCTCCGTGAGAATTGGGGATATACCCGATCTCCAAGTTAGTCGGAACACCATGTGTCCCTTCGACCTTCCAGTAACGTAAAGTATCGGCAATGACGAGAGATTGCTTGGGTGAACACCATCCCATAATCTTTCCATCTAATTGAACGACAACACTTTCATCAGTGGATGATGAGCCGGTACTAACGACACCTAGTTCTGAAAGGAGCTTTGGTAAAGCTGATACATCCGAGGCGTGTGTGAGGATTATACATTTGTGTGAGAGATGATTGAGCAGCCCACAAGGACTTCCATCAGGAGTGTGTACAGGACACATGAAACCCCAACTCTCTGGCAGTAACTTACGAACGGTAGTAGTTTTCAATTGGGCGAAGAAACTACCTCTGTGAATCATGCGGAAATGGGCGATGAATCGCAAGAAATTAATCTTTTCTGCAACAACCGTAAATCCAGAGGTTTGTTGAAGATCCAATCCCGTGGGACTGACTAGATTTCCAGTTGACATGAAGTACTCTAAAGCACCGCCAACCTGTTCATTTGTTCTTGAACAAATTTTGACAGGGAAATCTTTCAAAAATTCTGGTGTTACGAAGTTGTTTTCCGGGCTTCGTCGAACATAGTCCCTCAACGCCATTCTCAAACTAGTGTGAAGCCAATCCTCCAGTCTCTCCTTGATAATCATTCCGAACAAAAATCCTCCAAGCAAAATCTCCTGATTCTGGACCGCATCAGGATTGTCACCAGCACAGTCCCCAGCAACCAAAGAATACAACTTTCTGGTCATAAAAAGAAGCATCTTAAATTTATCCTTGTCTTGCGCTTCCGTAACGTTTGTATTTCCGAGATGGACGAGGACAATCTTTCGCAGAAATTCCGTTCCGACATCGTAATTTGACATGGTATCTGGGACTCCAAGGACGATTCTGAACTTCTCGCCCAAGTATGCTCGAGTCTTGCTCTTTGTGTACAAACCGTAGGCCTTGTAGGTTCGTAATAACAATTCCACCCGATCATTCAAGAATGTGTTATCCGTTCCCTTTGAACCAGGAGTGCCGACAAGCCCTTCAAAAATTTCTTTGTCGTTTGTCTCCACCAACGCCTTCAAAATCATCATGGCGGGTACCAGAAACTCATTCTTGCGCCACGAGAAACGGAAAGTAACGTTTCCATCATTCAGATAGTGAAGAACATTGGTCTGGGAAGTTTGATCAGGTCGTACGGATCGAATCAGCATACCGAATTCGGTGTATGCTGGACCTCTGCCTTTGAATGAAGGTCTAATGATGGCCATGGGGAAATTCCTACGATTCACAACAAGAAGACGAATGATTTTCTCAATTCCGTTCACCACGAAATATCCTCCGAGCTCCTCGGATTCTTCTTTGTTCTGTACAAGCTGTGCTGGTGAGTTGTTTTGAAGATGGCATTTGTTTGACTGGAAAGAAAAGGTCAGCTCCATTAAGAATGAAATGAGTATGGATTAATACCATCAACATCAAAGGCAATTGCCCAAGATCTCTAATAAACTCTTTTGGGTCCCCATTGTTAATCGAGTACTCCATGCGCGCCGACATCTTTCCTCTGTAGGTAACATGTCGTTCTCTGCATTCCGCCGGTAAAATTTCTCTGTTCTTGGTAGAAAATTTGTTGGATGGAGGCAACATAGACTTTTCAACAAAAACCTCCTTGATTCTGACGGTCAATCTATTCTTTCCACTAGGTCCTAACCTATCATCTCCATCGAGGTATGTCTTGGATCCAATATCTAATAAACCTTGGGCAATTAAACCATCTTTCTCGAAAAGTGCATTGAAAGACTCGATATGAGGTGCAACTGCAGCTGTAAGTGCAGGATATGCTGAGTGATCTTTTGGGGGGTCTCTGAAAAGCTTCTCTCTTCGAATCGTATCAAATTCATGAGTCCATTTTGTATTTGTGGGAGCAGGGGCAGACTTCGAGGGAGCCATGGCGAAGCTGAGCGCAATTGATTAGTTAAGGGAGGTTTTCTATGGCAGTATGATCAGAGGCTAATGAAGGTGAAATTCAATACTTACGATCAAATAAAATCCTTCAATTCATGGAAAAGTGTAACCACCCAGAGAGTTTGTTGATATCAAATGAGCGGCATTTACAAATTGCGGCAGAAAAAAAGTTTCGAAAATATTTTGATGACATAAGCACTCGGGAGATCTATCTTATCGCAACGATGATATCTTAACGCCGAGGCTTTTTTGTTTGAAGCAAGTACCGATATTGGGTCTACCAATACCCGCAATATTAAAGCAAACCGTGCAAACCAAATTTCACATTCATTAGGCTTCAAGCTTCAAGCTCGCGATATTCTGAGCAATACCTTGGGCTCTCATCTGCAGGAATTCCAACGCCAGGGCACTGATGGTTTGAAATGATCTAGATGGATGTAAGATCTAAAGATTTTCATTCGCTCTTCAACATCAAAGAGCTTCACTGATGGTGATGGTTGTTGCTTGCATCCATGTATGAAAATCATCCATTGGACGCAAGTAGTAAAATCTGAATCTAAATGTTCCCGGAATGAGCTGCATGTTTAAGTGCTATACGACTTGGGATATGTGATATGGTATGAATGTACTGGTTAGATACATTACATAGATGCATACCTGCCTACCTTTACCTTGGTTGCTTGTTCAAATCGAACGAGAGGGGACGAACGAATTGATCTCATCATATTCTACCCAGTATTCGTATAAAGGGGTGGAAGAAGAAGTAAGATTACCTTTCTTTTCACTTAGCCATTAAAAAGAAACATTCCCGCCCTTTTCTTTTTGCTATGGAGGCGGGTCTCTTCCTGTCTCGAACCTCATCAATAGATAGATAATACTGTACTTTCTTATTATTCCATGACTCTCCTTATTTTACTCATTATTGACCTGATGATCTCTTGCATATCGAATACTTGTTCCTCTTCCTCTGCTCATCCAATATTGTCTATTAGGTATAGGTATACCGGTATATTGATATCACTTTCTACCCAACCTAAGCAAAGCCTCTCTCACATTCCTACTTATTATTGATTGTATTACAATAACCGGCAAGCCAGTACTACATAGAAACTCAAAGATACTTAGTCACTTACTCTCTGGCTGTTGTGTTTCTCTTTCTATTTGTATAGGTACAGATTAATCAATTTTTTTAGTACAGTCTCAATCTATCAATCAATCCAGTCATCCAACACTAAAGTGCCTCCACTGTACTTATCGCCTATCCGCCCGCAAAACCACACAATCAGTAAAATCATTACCGAAGTGGTTCGTGCATTTCTTCCTCTTCCCTGAGGGGAATCACCAAATCAGTGAGTGAATCAATCAAATCAGTCAGTCAGTGAATCACAAGCACGAGCACAAGCGCTTCAACCGATTGTGCTAAGCTGCTAGAGCTACGCTGCTACCCTCACCCTTCAACCCTTTACCCTCTGCCCTCTGCCCTTTGCCCTCCACCCTTCACCGTCACATTGAAACCTTGAGAGAAGAATCTATCTACCCGCCATTAATGCTACCATTCAACTTCACTCATTCACCACTCACCACTCACCACTCACCATTCACTATTTCACTTGGTACAAATCGTCAAGGTTACTTTGAAAATTTATTGAAATTATAAAGACAAGTCTACGATCCCTTGGTGGCAGCTATCTGATCATTGGCTTATTGACGGAAAAACGGTCTGCGGCTGCACACACACTGCATCTTTTGCTTCTTTTGCCGGCTTCAACCCTGCAATCTTGCTATCTTTCCTCTCTCTCTAGAAACTTCACCTACCTACCTACCGTACCTGTACAGCAGCCTCGCGAACCATCGAAATAACACAACTCTCAGCAAAAGTGCTTGAGAGCTTTCGTCAAAACGATTATAATCTACAAAGGTGTGCCTGGGTGACTGAGTGATCATGGCAAGCATATTTAGACGAGTGTACGATTGGTTGCTGCGACTTTTCTGGTGTGTATTTTACCATCTGTTGCTTAGTGAAGACGTCAATTTGCCGCACTTCTTCGTGCTCACCGCGACCTCCCGATAATGCTACTTTTCAACATTTCCTGCTCCTCAGCAACTAACCTCGGATGTGCCATTTAGGGCTACCGAAATGGATATTACGATGATCGGTTTGCAAAATGCTGGAAAGACCTCTTTGTTGAGAGTGCTGGCGGTAAGCTTGATTTTTCCACTCACCGGTCGCTTCATATCGAAACTTTTACCTTGGCGCAAATGCTGACGATCATGTCAATACGTAGGGCGGAGAATTTACACTTGAGTACGATGGTCTCTTTCTTTCACATCCCAGACAACACATACAAAACTTCCTATCATGACCCGAATTTAGTTGAGGCGGGGTTCGCAGATCTGTAGACCCCACGTTGCGCAACCACCTTAAGCTGACCACCTTTTGCTTCCACTCATAGCTCCATTCCTACCGTTGGCTTTAATATGAAGCGTGTCCAAAAAGGTCACGTCACCCTTAAATGTTGGGATCTAGGTGGACAGCCACGCTTTCGTTCCATGTGGGAACGATATTGCCGCGGTGTGAATGCGATCGTATTTATTGTCGACTCAGCCGATCCGGACGCCTTACCAATCGCTAAGGATGAGCTTCATCTGTTGTTAGAAAAGCCAGTTTTGCAAGGTATACCACTTTTGGTGTTGGGAAATAAGTCTGATTTGGAAAACAAGCTGAGTGTGGATGAGTTGATTGAGAGATTGGATTTGAAGAGTGTGGGACACAGAGAGGTGAGCTGTTATGGGATCAGTGCCAAGGAGGAGACGAATTTGGATGCGGTTTTGCAATGGCTGGTTGCGAGAGCGAATAAATAAGGCGGCCGTACGGACGGGTTCATGAATGAAGGATCGTTGAGGACAGGTAAAGCTTGTCGCAAGTTTGGAGTGTGACGGGTGCGAATTTTCCGGATATTAACGATGATTGACGACACGAAATGGCGAAAAGATGGGATAATACATGATCGAACTTTGAAAAGGGTCTTCGCGGACCATGAATATATCTCTTCAGCTCACAGCAACCAATTCTAATTATTTTCAAATTCTTCCTTCTCAATCGGCGAGGGTCCTATCGACGTCGGGTTTTCGATATGCTGTGAGCGGAACAGCACGACAGAAATGTATCAAATTTCCTTGTATTCTTCTTGATGATGCGCCAATGTCTGCTACGATGAGACGACTCACGACCCTCTGCTTTCTTGTTAAATTGTTGGGTCGACGTTTCGCGTGTTGAAAGGTGCCAGATGGTAAATGGGTTAGCGGGTACCGTGTGTTGAGATGATCGGATGGGAAACATTGTATTTAAAATATTCATATTTTGTGCCTTTTGTATCCCAGTGTTTCCATCCATGTTGTATAGGTGACCCAGCTTTTTGACTCTATTAGCCAACTTCAAGTATAATAATGAGGAGATTTCGGGCGGAACATTCAGGCGCCTTGTCTGTATTTGCTGTATCGACGATACGCTATGCCAACGTCGTACCTTGGCACTGGTAGAAATGAGGCAAATGTTCGCGTTGAAAGTTTGAATTATGTTGAAGGCATTCTGGGAGGACGAGGGATTTGATTTTCAAGGAGATGTGCTGTCCAAAACTTGTGGTATTTGCCCGCGATGGGAATATATCTCATGGCAAGTGTAATCTGAAGGATTTTTCCAAGCATTTGTGTTCGGAATACCTTCATGGATATAAGGGTGCGCGTGTACCGTCGATAGTCCATTTCTTGGCAGGAAAGCAAGCTATCGCCGTTGGTATTTTGAACCTCGAGCAAAATTGTGTAAAGATTTGAAAAATTCTAGGAAGAAGTTGTAGTTGAATAGGAAGCTTTACGGCCGCGTGCTGAGTGTTTTACGCAAATCCCATCTTCCATATTTCGCATCGTTTTCCTCGGCGCATTCCTCTGTACATAGCAATCATGACTGGTTTCTCGTGGTGGATTCGCAATGTGCTTAAATGGTGAGATGTCGTAGGGGCGTCAAGTTCTCTTTCCGGAATTGAACTGACAGGAAGACATCATTGAAGGAAGAAAAAGAAATTATGGAAGGAGAGGGAGACTAGACATTTCATACAATAACACATTGAGCTGCATCGCGCATGCTTCGCTGGCAGCTCTTATTTCTCAAAGCACAGTCCGCACGTTTGATGCGTTGGCACCGTGCATGGATTCCCATGGCTTGCAGGAATTCTGATGTATATTCATGAATTTAATTGGATGAAGTGGCGAGAAGGGGATTTGATAATGTGATTTGAAGAAAAATTATCCTTGAGAGGAGACCAATTTTGACAAGGCTCAAGAATCCAAGAGCGAGGGAAGGGGGAGAAAAAAAAAAGAAAAAAGATATTGGAAACTGGAAACTGGACAGGGCTGTTGTGGAGCATGAATTGATTTACTCTTGTACTCCGTAATTTTATAAGATGGGGAATTGGATATGACGGATTTGTTTGATCTTGCAGGTGGATGATGAAAGGGAAGACATGGGACGAACGAGGTGGGTTGGGTGTGAGTAGCTACTCTGTGCAGAGTACAGATATGATTATGATGGATGAATGTATGACTTCATTGTAATAAGCTGAGCGAGGGTTGGCACAGTACGAGGAGAGTATTGTATTGTAATGTAATGTAGGTATTTTGCTATATTTACGAGGTTGTTCGGCTCAGTCGATATGTTATCAATGATTACAGAGTATGATGATGAGTACAGAGTACTGTGGGTAGCATTGTACGTAAGGCTTGATGGGGGTACGGAGTCCGAACTCATAGTCTATTCCAATATCTACCTACCAAGGACAGTGGAACAATAATGAGAATATATCGATCGAATATCCAATTGAAACAAATTATAGTGTTGAATACACTACTGTATCATACATTCATACATAGTGAGCCACAAAGAAGCCACCAAATTTAATTCAGGCTCATCGATTTGACTTGATGATATAAGACGGCGAATCATTCAGGATTATACGATACTTCCCTCTCTCTCTCTTTCTCTCGTGATCTGGAATGTTCGGGACAAGTTATTCAACGGCCACGCAATCAATTGTCGGAATACGGAGTAGTAAAAGGTATAATGCGTGATATGTCTGTCATCCATATGGAATCAAGGAAATCCCTACATAGCGTCCGACTTATCAGGTACAGTATTCTTCCCTCCGAGTACAATGTACATAGATACATACTTTGTTGCATAGCCTCAATGTGGCCCACCGTCACCAAGAATTCAAGAGATTCCCAAAAACGATAAACCTCATATCTGTCAACCTTACATCTCTCCCACTGTACATTGCTTTTTCTTTATATCTCTCTCCGCCTTCTCTTAATTCCTCCTCCCTCCTACTTTCCACTTCCTATTTACCATACTCGAGTATTATATCACATCACATCACATCGATCATATCATATACATATCCACATCAACTACTTCTTCTTACCCCGCAAAGACCATCAAGTCACCCTCAAACACATCCGTGTTATCCTTTTGCCACGATCAGGATTTCATTCCAATAAAAAATATCCCAAGCTCTTCCTTGTAACACATACATACCTAAAAACCAGCTGAACAACGCCTGAATTTCCAAATCTGATATTGGAATAATCATGGCTGTGCTGATGCAAGTCATTGCCAAGAGGCAAAGAAATGATTATGATGACGATGATAATAAGTGAGTCAATTTCCCTTCGTATTTTCTTACCATCCTTTTTTTTTTTCCCTTTCCAACCTCCAACTTTCTTTGTTGTTGGGTGTGAAGCCGTGAACGTCAGGAATAAGCTCGACGTCAACGTCTACAATAACCTCCTCCACCAAGAGCGGCTTTTGGGGATTTCAGCTCCATTCCCATACATCTAGCGATACTTGGAAAGTTACATAATCATATCCAACTCATTTTAATCATTCGAGGATTGCTCGCGATACCATTAACGAAATCCATCAACTAACAAGATGGCCTACAGCTGCGATTACTACGGAAACTGCTATTCCACATGGGGCAGTTGGGGACGATGGGTTGTACTGGTTCTCATAATTCTTGCTTTTGTTTTATTGGCTTTCGGATTATCGTATGTTTTGCTCCATTCCTACAAAAACCCTTCACTGGCACCATTTTCCTTCGTCCAAAGGACCAAAGGAAACTCAGCCATACATTTTCCCATTTCAGATCACAACAAAGCACTAACACTACTTACCAGATGTCTTAACTCCCGCCGTCGCCGTCGTCAAGGCATTCAACCAATGTATGGTACTGGCTGGATGGCTAAACCACCCCCATACGGCCAGTACAATCAACCCGGAGCCTATAACTATGGGCCTCCTCCTCCAGTGTACACTCAAAATGGACCAATACCACCTCAACAGACAGGTAATACGTTCAATAGTAATGATGGATACTACGGACATCATGGTCAACCTGTTCAACAAGAGGGAATTGAGTTGCAGCAGCCGCCAAATGCTTATACCAGAGGTGGCGAGGATGTTTACCAGGCGCCAATGGGTCCACCACCTGGAAAGACGGCTGAGGGTGATGGTATTATTCGATAAGTGCCGAACGGGTAGAGAGAAAGTGAATGTTGAAAGTTGGTTGGGGAGATCCATGAGCACGGAGGAGAGGCTTGGTTTGCGACTGTAGAGGTGATTGGTGGGAGGTGCAAGGTTACGACTATACCAAATGATGCGGTTACAGCACGGGGGCAAGTAGAAGGGTGTAGAATGATTGAAATGATTACGAATCGCAGGATTCGCGTCATGACATTGATGTCACTTTGGGTTTGGGGCTGGGCAATCAATGTGGGAGTTAAGGGCGGGTTTTGTCAACTTAGGCGTGGGCGTACTATGCATGGTAATGATAAATGGATAATAAACCTAGGGTACGGACAATTGGGAATTGAGCTCGTTGCTTTTTATATCCAAATATATGGTCCATCATCTGATTGCTGAAGGAAGAGATTTTCGTGACGCCAAGTTTTGCATCTATCACATATGCGCTGTCGATGAATAGTTTCCTTTGGTTGCAGTAGGCATCCTTATTGCCCTCTTCACATTTCTCTGTCATGTCAATACTTTCTATTTGCCAATAACCCCACCATCACCTACATTACATCGAGTATCATCGCACTCGAACCCAGACTCAAAACTATCGTAGAGTTATAAATCAAAAGGCATCCCAAAGTATATTCTCATCTCTACTACTAATAACGGCTATAATCCAAAAGCAACACGCACAGGTGTCGGATTCATATATTGCCACTAGTCTTCCTTCCCCTATCTTTAGACGAAAATCAGTGATTTCCCCGCCCCCCACACACCCCACGGCTCCCTACTTTTGCCCGTCTCCAATATCTTCCCATCTCTCATGTCATCGATATAATATCTTCTCAGACTTCAAACTACACCATATCCAGTCAACCACTTTCCCCCCAGATACTACAATCCTGGAGTTCTTGTCGCAAATCTCAAAGGAGAGTGGCACTCGATTTTTTGTTCCATATTAAATTCAGACCTCAAATTTCTTTATAGTCAAAGATACAAGGGAAACTTCCAATGCAGTGACTCCAGCAGCCAATTGCTCTCTTTCTGCTAGGTGTTAAAGTTTGAAAGTTTATTGTAATCGCAAAACTTTTGGAAAATGAGAAAAACATTCAGCACAGAATCGAGATCCTAAACTTCGGAATCTCCCAAATTGGATGCGCATTATTTCTTTTTATTTTAATTCACAATTAGACGTGAGCCTTGTAATGGCAAATGTCTAAAAGCTTTCTTGCATGCCTCGAATTCTTTTGGGGATGGGAGAGGTACTCTGTGATTCTAGGATCTTCCAATACTCTGTTAACCATACGACGCTTTCAAACTCGGAATTGCAACCAAAATATTGTATACTCAAACACCACTCCAGATAGAAACAGTTCGGGAGAGAACTACCCAACCGCGTAGGTAAGTGGCTTACTAAAATAGCGTCGTCAATGTCAAAGTGCCAATGGGTACTGTAGTGCTCTGTTTAGGGGGAATCACACCTGGGTTGGAGTAGCTCAGCTTGCTAGTGAATTGTCTCATGCACCAGCCTTAATCTATCAATTCATCTCTGTGTTGATTGAGTGAGGTTGTAGCGGCGCACTGCCAGTTCCGTCTCATCATGCCCTCAAACTACCTATGTGCTGTGTACGACACCAGCATTATAACACTAGGAATTAAGCCACCAAGATATTCGCATCCATCACTTTATAGTGACCCCACTCACAAAGAGTATTGGCTGGGTACTGAAGACTGTTGGCTTCACAGCGGAGGAAAAAACAGGAGAATGGGGTAGAGCCTTGTCCACCCATTTAGTCAGAAGCTACGAAAATGTCACGATCTATTTGTGCATGGCGAGAGCATTCGTAGTACTGCAAGACAGCGCCAGAATCATGTGTCACACTACCACAACAACTTGTTGTTCGATCCTTCAGCCTTGGGGTCTCAAATACCTTTAATTATGTTGTTACCAGGCCGGCCACGGGAATCTTCATGATAAAGGCTTCTACCTAAATGGATTGTTTATTCTCGAGTACCTCCCAAAGTCATTGGTTGAATATTAGATCAGTAGCCAGTGAAAACTTCTTCATGATATACATGATGTATAAGATGGAGATGAATGAGCATGACGCTACGTTCTCACTCTGAAGAATAATTGCAACTTGACATCTCGATATCTGCGCCACAGTTCAATCTCAATTACCAAGCATTCCACAGGTCATCAGCCACATTCTATCATGTCATGGCGCCAAGGTCGAGTGAGGGCCCCTGACATTAGTGTAGTGGAGCGCTGCAGGGTGCCGGGGTTATCCCATTTCGGTTGTGATTGTGATATGAGAGCCCAATGCTTTGGTGATAGAGGGAAGTACGGATGTAGGGGAGGAGAGGAAGTAGAGGAAATAAGCATTTTACATAGATCGATATATATGTGTCTACTATAACAACATGGTATAAGATTAAATGACCTCCCATTCTTCACTCACTCACCCACTCACTCACAAACACATTGATGCACACCACTAAATAATTAGGTACGATGCATAAATAAATCCTGCCGTGGTAGTTCCTTTCCCAGGCGCTTCAGATTAAGGAACTTTTTTGGTGGATCAGTGGAGTGAGTGAAATACCCCAAAATAGTCTGAGATAACCACCATAGCCCCCCGGAATAAAAAGCTCAGACTTTCAATTTCAGTCATCGGGAAGTAAACATCAACAACTAACAACCTCCCCTTCTCTCTCTGTAACAAACCAAGACCTTAACCACTCTCGTTTCATCCACATATTATCAATCTTTGAATTTATGGGATCACTCTCCTTAATATTGTATTATTTTGCCACTTCATAAGGATATACGTTAGGAACGCAAACCATTTCTTCGCTAACCTCTTGCTCTCTTTTCAACCTTTAATTGCTTTGCGACAGAATTCGGGAATACGGGAATACGAGAATACGAAAGTACGAAAACCAGAGGGCTGATCAACAACTCCTAACTAATGAGACTCACCGAAATTGGAACAATGAATTGGAGCATTTGCAGTTGAAATTGTAACCTCAGTCATAAGAAGAAATACTTGGGAGGAGTCAAGAGCATTACTACGCCAAGGTCAACAATTGACTCAGAGAATCAAACACTTTGCGAGCACACTTGGGACTTGGATGGTGAGCCATCAAGTAGGCCAACTTGAGCATTTTCTTCAAGAAGAACGAAAGGACAAAAATCATACAAATGAGGATCGAAAGAATAACTGGAAATACCATCGGCGACACAGCTTGTGCCATCCAGAGGAACTGTTCTCCTGCAGTGTATTATTCAAGTTTTCGCAGTTTTTAAACTTGGCAACTCACTGTCAAGTCAAATCGAATTAAACCATCAAAGTACTTTCTAACTTTCAAAGTCTGTTGCGTACCAACATTATATCCCACAATGCCACATATCACAACAGCAATGGAGTGGAGTAGGAGGAGGGGAATCGGAGAAATATTGGTGGCAAGTTTACTTAAAAAAAGATCAATTACGGGAGATGCATCAAATGTGCAAAACTCATTTAGTTCATGGTCAAATTGCATGGCAGCTACATATTGCAAGTTCGTCGGTCCTTCCTCTTTGCCTTAATTTTGTACCCTTCCTAGACCAAATCCAAACTAACTTTGACCCTTCAGATGGCCTGTCATAGCAATAATCATCTTCGTCGGCTTAACCGTTTTCTCCATAGTTTGGTGTATAATAAGATGTGCTTGCTGTGGCATGTCTTGCTGTTGCAGCTGTTTCTCTTTCCTTAAATGTTGCGATTGTTGTGGTGGTTGTTGCGATGGGAAAAGGGACCGCCCTCACAAACATCTCGACGATTATCCTCCTCCAAATCCATATCCGAATCAAGGCTACCAAGCTCCAGCCCCAATGATGGGCGGAGCTCTTCCTGCCAGGCCTGAACCACCGAAATACGCACAATTTGAAGTAGGAAAAAATGGTCTTGCCGTCGATCCACCAAAGACAATCTCGGAAGATGCATTACCGCCTATGCCGACATGGGAACATGCAAGCCAGAAGCATGTGGATGATGACGAGAAAGGTGAAATGGGCATGGAATTGAAAGAATTGGATCCTGTTACGGGTCAGAATATGCCAATGACGACTGGAGGCGTTGTCAGTAATCATCCCAACGGCCCAGAAAATAGACAAGGGGAAAGCGCTTATGGAAGACAAGGTCAGGGTATGAACAATGGTTTCATGAATTCTCAGGGCTTTTACAACCAAAGTCAAAACAACCTACCTGGAAATGGTAGAGCTTTTGGGCCAGGAGGATCACCAAATCTTGGGATGGCTACGGATCCACTTATGGGTTATAGAGGAACGCCACCTCCAATTGCTTCGAATAATCAGCTGGATGGAATGGGATACAGGGGTACACCGGGACCAGGATTAGCAACGGGGATTGGAGAAGCAGGTATGGGATATAGAGGAACGCCTCCACCAGGCAACCGAGGATACCGTGGTGCACCATCGCCTGCCCCTGGAATTAATCTTGAGTCGGGGCAATATAGGGGCGGGCCATCTCCAGCGCCAAGCAGAGCATATGGCGAATCACCACAAAATCGAGACTTTGAACCAGCTATGCCACAGGAATTTCCTTTCAACAGTGGGTTCAACGACACGCCTGTTTCCGGATATGCTCAAGTAGAACCAATGTATGACAATCAACCATACCCATCTCAGCCATCACGTCAATTCTCAAATGATTCCTCGAGACCACTTGACCCAGGAAGATCACATACTAACAACACCGACCAATCATACCAATCATACCAATACTACCAACCAGACAATTCCTCCAATGTTGATACATATCCTGCCCCACTCATGCCTTCTAGGGGAATCGGACAAAACGGACCGAACAGAGTGATATCACCGAGAAGTCCCCAGCAGCAAGAGACGTCAGCCTATCCGGGATACAGACCTTATGTCCCTGAGCCAGAGACACCAGCTTACCCAGGGTATAAACCCTACACGCCAGAACCGAGATATTGATGAATGGATTAGAATGGCAAATGGTTAGGGGAGAGCGGTGTACAAAGTAAGCGGTGGAATAGGACTATTTGAGGAGTATACCAGACTCCAAATATTGTAAATTTCGGCAATGGTACAGAATACCGTTCATGTACCTTTTTCTTAACAAATACCCCATAAGACTTTCTCAGGCTTTTCAGGCACTCGAGTTTAAGGTTGAATTAAATTTCAGGAAATTGGACTTTTTATACCTCTACGCAAAATTTAACTCTAACTCCCAAGGGGTCCATTTAAGTATCGGCGGTTTAATATACCCCAGTACACAGTCGTTCTTCAAGTTCCTTGGTATTCATGATCTAAGCTCTACCAAGTACTATCTTTGAACTCATTAAACATAGTCCATGAAAATGTTATTTCGGAGTCTCATAATGCGGAGTCTGGCTCCGTACTCGTTGTTAGGATATGGACAGCGTGTGCAACTCTAATGGGGCTATATATCGTTTTACACGTGCGATAATGATAAATAAACCCCCTCTACGCGCTCAAATACAACCTTTCATGGCGACCAATACAGGGAATAGATTCTTGGCGGAATCCTGGCTTTGAAACTCTGATACAAAATTCAGCATCCTTAAAGTCTACATTGAATTACTCAAATCCGATATTGCTAGTACTAAAAACTGAAGATATTATTTTGATTCATACCACGAGTTAACGGCATATTTTATGCTTTATCTTGAAGTTCGACATTCCCTTCGCTTCTTTTTGGCCTATCCTTCCCCAGCAGACATTCTCTATACCCTTAAGTTTGTCGTTCTAAACGATCTGCAATAGGCATGCTTTTACAGTCTATGGTTTAAGCCCTTCGCGTTGGGCAATTTTGCGATGAGGTGGACGGGTCCCCAATCAATCGAAGGTCTAGTGAGGCTAGATGACATCGGTTCCAGGCTACAGGATATAATACTCTGGTTTCGCTTGGAAGTTCCGGATAGCTTCCAGGTTTTTATAGAAGAGTACAGGGTGAAGGAAATATAGGAGTAACTTTATACTTGCTGGATTGGTCTAATTGCTGCGGGCGGCTTTTTAGGCTTAATATATTAAGTGCGATTGCGGATCTATTATATAGTCTGGAATCGTAGCTCCAATAATAAGACAACCCTCTTCACATCTACAATAAAGAATCATTCACCTCCTGAAATCATTACCATAGGTTAGTTCTGGACATGTAGGCTAGATGAGTATCTAGTTCATTTTTTGTTCTGTATTCTTTTTTGGTCATAAGATACTGTTTTCCTATTTATTTTGACAATTCTTTGCTTACTTAGTTGTGTGGTTGAATTGAGCTCTTCAAAATTCTGTCACTGACCAACGTATAGATACTGGCATATTAGTATCAGTAGGTCGTTCACATCGTGGTGTAACCGGCACGATTCTTTATGTATGATTACTAAAAAGGTACTTTTCTCACAGTGACAAGCTCAACGCTCTAAGGGACTCGCTGTCGCTTGTCAAGTAGGCTTTACATGCTCATGAATATCATAATGATCTCTGTGTGTTTATGATACTCGAGCTAAATCCCTGTAGCATTTACAGGCTTAGGCAAATGTAGATGACAAACAATTTGTATATATATATATTTTTTTTGGATAAGCAGTTGGGCTGAAAGAGAGAAGTCTAGCATCTCTCATTAAGTCTAGTACTCTATTTCCCGGTCACCCCTAATTCCGGCCACCTTTTTACACCAAAAATAATTATTTCTATATATTAATATTTCAATAATTAACAAATAAAATCAGTTGAAATTTGAATTGTAAGTTTATTATATAGATATTAATAAATCTTGAAATTTTTGGATTTTCATTAATTTTATTATTTCAAATAACGTGGTTTATCATCGAGTGGGCCACTTTTCCCTCAATTCACACCTTCAAACCTATATTATTCAACAATCATTAAATCAATTGATTAAAACTGTGACCAAAAGGGTGTTTATAGACCAGCTGTTGGGTTTCTTGAGACTAGAAAGAGCATCAGATTGAATTGACTGATTTTCTAGCTGAGCAGTTAAGCTGCGAGTATATATTCAAAAAATGAAGGAATAGGTTGGGTATTCGGCCTTCGGAATTAAAGTGCTTTGAAATCAAAATATTGAAAGCAAACAAACAGTATACCAAAAAGGAAAGAATGAATTAAAAGTTGAGTTTTGTTTGCTCCTTATATGCATATGTACTATATATGCATATGCTGCCAAGATCCCAGGAGGTCAACACCAGCAATTGTATTTAACTTAGAATCTACAGGTGAAGAGCACCTGTAGATGGGGATAGCTACTCTATATATACACAAATGAATGGCCTAGCCGCAATGGCTAGGCAAAAAGAAGTCATATTTATTCCTCCAATGATCTTACTTTACCGATAACCATTGATACCTAGTACTTGTCCGGATCTGATCCTCAGGTCACCTAAATCGCATACTAATCTCGAGTAATCGTATCATGTGTGGACATGGTTAATGTACCTGAGGTTTCTTATATAATAAAGGTGGGAGGAAAGCAGGGATTTCCGTCACATCAATAAAAATTATCAAAAATAAATATTAAATTCTTTTAAAATATTTAAATTATATGTTACAACGGTATTCACTTACGACTAAAACCCGTATCACATGACTAAACAAGGGGTCACGTGGTCCCACTCGTCCCACCGATTTAAATCGAGGGGAACGGTGGGAAGGCCTCCCACCGATCCCACTGATTTATATCGAGGGGAACGGTGTGTTACGAGGTTTGCCGTCTAGATCACGTGGAAGTGCTCTAGGCTCTCGAGGTGGTTTATAACTAGGTGTTACGTGACGAATTCAACAAAATTGTATGAGGAGAAGGGAGAGTGATCAAGAGCCAGTGATCTAGTGGACGAGGAGGACCACAATATTAACCACTAAGCCAACCGGCCCCAAATCTGTCGCGAAGGCAATCATGTAAACCCTGCCCTAGCCCCTTTAAATTGTATATAAATACCCTCCCTAGCTAGCTAGTACACTACTCGGAGGCATACTCCTCTGAGCGTCATTTGTCCAAATCTGGAATAGATGGCTAAGGTTATCACGCGCCAAGGCGCGTGGGCCTACGGCCTATGACGATAAACACAATCAATCAATCAAGGTGTTACGTGACGGTTGTTACCCCACTAGTGGCTCACGTGCACTAGCCCTGTATATAAAGACCTTCTTACTTAGAATCTTCTTAGTTCTTTAGTTTTAGATTCTAAGTAATTGAATGACTCCGTTTACGACTTTTCCATCACAGTGGTCCAAAAGTAGGATACTAGACTTAATCTATTCACCGTGGGTCAATGACTTAAGGGTGCTCAGCATTCATATTGATTACATTTGCGGCGAGAGAAACAAAGTATCGGATGCGTTATCTCATACGATATTCATGAGCCCTGATTGTGAGGTTACTCTAGAACTGGAATCAATCGATACCAGATTCAAGCACAGATTCAAGTACCGGTTCAAGTCCAGATCTAGGTTTACCCTTCTCATTCCTTTACCTTTTACACAATATTGCTTGATGAATGAATGAGTGAACTATCAAATAGACTGACAAGTTAAAAAAAGCATCATATGCGGATAGAAAGTGTTCCACATAATACGATTTCAATCTAGATACTCAGCATACTTGAGTCACTATGTTCATAAATAAAACTCCCCTCAATCAAGAATATTCAAATTCAAAGTAAACAACTCTATTTGCGGGTTTAACTGAACTAATTAAGCACTAAAATACAAAAAAGGAAAGCAAAACAAGGCCTCAAAAATAATGATACAATGATAACAAAAATCTGGCAACTAAACAATGGATTAGGTGGCCACCTAGCCCATGTTCGCTTGCCCTATTACTGATAACAAGACTGTTGTATTCTGAGTTCTTGTAAAAACTGTAGCTTTTTAACTCTTTATCTGCAAGTCAAATCTCCATTGCCTTTGTTGAAACTGCAACGGTTACCATTGTATCTGTAGGAAAGCTGGTTGTCTATTAGTATAATGGTTTCATTTGATAGGAATTATTTCTTACATTGATATATCCACCTTCCTTGTGAGTATAAAATGCATTGTTTCCAGTCATGAACAGACAGTCGTAACTATAATAGTAAGCTATCGAATTTTAAGGAATAGCTGTATAAGCATATAGGGTACTTACTCAGTGTTGAGGAGACCAAGAGAGAGCTTGGCAGATACTCTTCCATCTTGACCACTAGGATTTTGGAGATGGTAACCTTTGTTGTAACAAGCAACAGCAGGGAACTTGTTGTAATCTGGGTTTCTTTTCCACATCTCGAGAGTAGTCTTTTGAGTAAAGGCCTCACGTGTCTAGTAAGTAGATTAGTACCAGAGCAATTAAGGTATTTCTAAAAACCACTTACTTCGTTCCACTTCTTGAGATTCTTGAGGGTATCACCAGCAACTTCAACAGCAATCTTTGTCAAGATGCCAACACCTTTGATTGCGAGCGCTGTACCCATTATGACTAATGGTGCTATACGCTTTTGAAGTACTTGATCGGTCTCATTGTCCTCCTCACGCTTTTGGAGTGCTTGATCAGTCTCATTGTCCTCCTTGGGGAACAATACTCCATTGGTATCAAACTATCAAATCATTAGCATTTTATGTAAAGCTTTAGAAGGTGTTTCTAACTTGTCCACTGAAATGGGTCTCAATTGAGGGTGCAACGACTGCATTTGGATCCCCAACTGCAGCTGCAGGAGCTGGAGCTGGGAGAGCAGCTGCATTGGCGATAGCTGCGCAGGCAATGATGGTGGCAATGGAGAACTTCATTTTGATGAAAGTAAGTGATTGATTTTCTTAAAGAAAGTTTGATAGTTGGAATAAGTAAATGAGTGAATGGGGAATGATCGTATGATAGTTAAGTGAATGTGATGATGATGATAGAATGTATTGAAGGGGAAGATAGAGAGGTTTATATAGTCTTTTTCCATCATATAACTTCTATCCATTTCTGTGTGAACGAAGTGAATGACTTCAATTCAATTACTACTGTAATAAAGAACTAGGCGAACGCGAAAGAGACTAGCTCTTTTAGTAAGTCTATATAAGACTTACTACTTTCAATATGTAGCTAGCTCTTTAGACAGAATACAATTAGACATACAGGACCTACGTAATCCGTGGGTGCTACGTCTTCCGTATCCTTCTCGTACCAACAAATATCTTCTACAGCTTCTGCAGCATTATCGTCTTCTGCAATGTTTACAACTTCTTTCCCTCAACCTACCATCTCTCCTTCCATTTCATCTTTGACAACTTCTTTCATTCAACCATCCTCTACAACAACAGCATTACTGCTGTCTTCTACACTTTGCAAGCATATCAACCATACTAAAGAGGGCTTTGAAAACTACGAAAGAAGGGGATTTAGAATTACTGATGTTTGTCCCGTCTTACGTCTACATTGAACTGGGTACCTTGGACTGCAATATGCCAACAAACTATCTGATGTGGTATCCTATTGCACATCTTGTGCTTTTGAGAACTATAGTTTGTACAAAAGGGATTGGTTGGAATAGCTACTTTGAGCTATCGATACATATGTTCTAGGACTTAGATGGTGAAGTCTGTCATTTCCATCTGGAAGATTTGAATGACGAGCGATGGAAAATGAAAGTAGAGAGGGGTATATGTCCTTGTGTTATGTATAAGGGGGTTCCATTGAATTCATTCATCGTACATAGGAGGTTAGAGCTTTTTTGGCATGGTGTTACGAGGTTTGCCGTCTAGAATATAAACCTTCATGCTTCGTGGCTCGAGAGGAGCGAGCGGACTGAGCTTCAATCCTTCAGCTCTTCTTGATCGAGAGGCTTGAGAGGCCAATTGATTGATTGATTGATTGATTGATTAATTCATACTCGGTTCCAGCCTCTGAGTTAGCAGTGGCTATGCCGGAAAAGGCCTAGCTTTGGCGCAGTTGCCGAAATGCTCCTTACCAGTTTTATGTGGTAAGTCACACTTCACTTCATCACACATTTGTGACCATCAACCTCCTCTGCTAGGCGGTCTGGCTCTTATCTACGACTATATACATACTTGTTTACAAGAGTGCTTTGATCTAAACTTTGATGTGTGTTTGGTTCTTTGGTTGTTGCTTTAACAAACTATCACATATCATTATACCTTCAGTCTCCCCCCAATGATCTGCTTCTTCTATTGATTGATTGATTGATTAAATTAACGTCTACACTGAGTCTATGACTATCTAAGACGGCTAGGAGCTTTGTAGGCTTCTAACAATAGTAAATGGAGGGTGGCTGGCCTTATTCGACCGTAGCTAATACAGGTTGGGGAGATTGAAAGCCTCAATCTTCTAATGTTTGAATGGGGGAAGTGAAAACTAATACTAGGGAACCAAGCCCGCCTTACAGATACTCTCGTATTCAAGTAAGAGGAATAACAAATGAAATGTAATGAAATTTGACATTGGGGTGATTGCCCAAATTGACCAAGTTGACCAAATTGACCAAATTGACCAAAATGACCAAATTGACCAAATTGACTAAATTGACCAAATTGACCAAATTGACCAAATTGACCAAATTGACCAAATTGACTAAATTGACCAAATTGGCCATAATTGATCAATTCAATCACAATCTTTCGGTCCACCCCCCTTCTTCTCCGCCTTCTTCCTCTTCTTCTTCATGCATTCTATTGAGATGCCATGATCTGGTGGCTATTCTCGTCGCCTCGATAAATTCGAGGGTCTTGATGATTCCTGCTTTAGTATGAAGCAGATATTTCATGGTAGGTCGGACTGTGGGGTTATCCTTATTGAGGGTTTTCCTTGCCATTTTATATAAAGGACAACTGAGCAGAAGATGATCAGGAGATTCCTTTCCCCCACATCTACAATTGTCATTAGAGGAGATACCGAATCGTTTCAAATAAGATTTGAAGTATCCGTGTCCAATTTTGAGTTGGAACAGAGCACAGATTGTGCTTCTTTTGATGTTTCCTGGAACTCTGATTTTTGAGCTGATCTTCCAGGGGTAGTTTCTTGAATATGTTGACGATGGTTGATGAAAATTGTTAGTGTTAAGGATGGCTATCCAGTTCTCTGATTTCATTCTTTTTATATCCATTCCAATGGAGGCATAACTGGTTTCGTGAGATGAAGATGGTATTTTGGTCGCCTCTTTTGCAAGAGAATCAGCTAGCTCATTTCCTTGTACAGATGTATGTCCGGGGACCCAATTGAGAGAGATTTCGGCTCCTTTATTTTGAATAGCTTCCGCAGCTTTTATAGCTTTGATTTGGCATGATTGACCAGGTAAATCGGAGGGGGTTTTCAACCGGAATAATCCTGCTTGATTATCTGAGTATATCTTGAACTTGTTTCCTGGCTGGGCTATTGAATTTGCGTATTCGATCGCTTTAGTAACTCCTAGGAGTTCCCCATTATAGACAAGCTGATTCACACCTATATTGATAGTCTCTTGATGTGAAATTCGGCCATTTGGTAAGATAACCGCTATCCCGATCCCAATCCCTATTCCCTCTAAAGTGGATGAGGCATCGGTGTATATTGTAATGGTATTTTTGCATCTATATTTGAAAGCCAGATTGTGGATCATCGCAGCTTCTTCTTTTCCTAATTTGCTGATATTGACTTTATATGGAACTTCTTTCTTCCAAGGAGGAAAGTAGAAATGATGGATTCCTTCTAAAATGAGAGGATCGAAGTCTTTCTGGATTGAATTTTTGATCTTTTCGAGTTGAGTAGGTTTTAATTGCTTTCTTCGAGGGGTTGCAACTACATCTTGATTCTCCTTTTCTGTAGCCAGCTTTGTAGCTATTAAATTGACGGGATGAGAAGGGGAGATTTTCAATAATCTGAAGGCGTATTGTTTGATTCCAGCATTTAGCCTTACTTCTGGAGGGCACAATGCGGCTTCTATTTCCATTGGTTTTATTGGTGAGGTTTTGAATACTCCTAGGATTTTTCGAAGGGTGAGGTTTTGCAGGGATTGAAGGATTTTCTTGAATTGGTTTTGCCCTTTCCACCATAAAATTGAACCGTAGTCAGCTATGCTGGTGACACATGCCATATAAAGCTGTCTCATTGCCTTGGGACTAAGGCCTTTTTCAGAATTAGCAAGTCCAGCCATTCGGTAGAATGAGGTTTTAGCCTGGGTAGCTCGGATTGTGACATGTTGTTTGAAACTGAGGCCAGGGTCGAACCATATGCCTAGCCATCTGACTAGTGTTGAGGGTTGAATTATCTCCTCGTTCGGAAGCTTGATTGAGGCTGTCTTCGTATCTTTGGATGTAGAGAAGTGTATTAGTTCCGTCTTCGCTAGATCAAATTGAATAGCATTTTCTTTGCCCAGAGCATATATCTGTTTAGTTGCTCTTTCGAGGGAGATGATGTTCTTTTTCCAAGATGTTGAAAATGTTGTTAAAGCTATATCATCTATATATGAGAGATATTTGATCGAATTTGCTGAGAATAGATCTCGAATATAAATTAAGAAGAGGATTGGCGAAATAGGGCTGCCTTGGGGGATCCCGGTATTGATCGGCTTGAAGGTTTCAATTTGGCCATCGAATGAGAGCTTGAGTAGCCTTTCCTTCAAAAAAGATGAGATCCAGGCGATTAGGCTGGTTGGGAGGTTTAGATTCTTGCAGATATCTAATAATTTGTTCATAGATACATGATCAAAGGCGCCTTTAACATCCAGGAAGAGAGTTGAGGTTTTCTTCTTGGATCTTGAATTTCTTTCGATTTCGGTAGTGAGTAAGATTGCTGTATCGATGGCTGATTTCTTTTGTCTTCCACCCATTTGAGAGTAATGAAGTAATTGCGTAGTCTCCGCTAAGTAGCTAAGCCTTTGAGCCAGAATTCTTTCACTTATTTTGCCAAGGCAATTTAGTAGGGCGATAACTCTATAAGCTTTTGGGGCCGAGTAGTCTGGTTTTGACAGTGATAATATTATATTTGCAAATCTATGAGTCTTTTATAATATATCCAGTGAGACTACAAATATAAGTAAGAGTAACCAATTCTTACCATGCTTTCCCAGATACAAGATGTCAGTCTCAATATCCTTTGAGAAGGTTGCCCCCAGGCAAAAACAACCTTACTACACCTATTATCCTGTTTGCTCCCTAAGCTTACCCGATATCTCCATTGCCAGCTGCCTTGTACCTTATTGTAGACCGATACACGCATCCGTCCTCTCGAGCCGTATAGACAGTGTCATTATCGCTGCCATTATACGCTACGCCCCGCGGCTTGTGCACCGTTTCGCGTTACCTTGCCGGATCTCTCCTGCACAACAAGGCCGACTGTATCTTGCAAGCTTTGCTGTATCTTAACCTCTAGCCAAGCAACTAAAAATACAACATTTCCAGCTCACAAACCAAAGCATAGCCTACAAAGTCCATTCCCCCAATGTATAGTTTGTAATCGATAATGCGGAGGGTTGAGAACGTATTGGATATGTGTCTTATAAGGTAGCTTCTGCCAAAGCTCATCCGCTGCCGTGATGTCTACCAAATGCTTCGCAGAAGAGTGAATCTTGCTAAAAGCATCCCCCTCGTTCGAGAGTTCCTCTGCCGCCATGATACCGCTCTTGTACATTCGTAGAGCAAAGTGCCAAAAGCGTCCCTCCATCCCTAATTCACCCATACCTCCGTTGGCCTCAATAAGACTCTACCACAACCTTTATACATTCTCGATTACTCCCCTTAACCACCTATAAACTTCCAATCCGGTATACCCGCAGATTGTACGCATTGTTGGGTTGTGAAAATTCTGCACGCTAGCGCCCCAGAGGTGCCCTGTCAATCACCGGCACAACGCTTTCCTTCTCAGGCTCTGCTCCCACACAGATTCGTAAAGGCAGTCCGCTTTGAAATGCTCCTTAAAGCAATTCTCAGGCTCTGCATCCCACTGCAGATTCGTAAAGGTGGTTCCGCTTCGAAATCCGTCGTTGTTTCGTTGATTGTCGGGTAGTTTTCATCTCCGTTCGACTGATAGTCCTCTGTTCCGGGCCAAATTCACGATACCTTCACTCCCAGTACCGCTCCTTTTTAAAGCACGACCTTTTCCCAGCTTCAGCCTGATTCAATCTTGGCTCTGTAAGAAAAATTACAGGTTCGTAGGATGCACCACGTACAGGTGTTGAATCATCGCACCCCCCGTCAGACTACACTGGCAGAAAATAAAGTGTATTCCTTATTAGGCATTTTCGATATCTATATACTTCCTATCTATAGCGAGGGATTTATATGTGTATATAATCAGCTTCTAGACAAGTTCTACAAGATGCAGAAATGTATCCAAGACTTACGTCTTTCCGATCCGCATAACAACAAAAAGCGTATTGAAGAAATGAAAGGCGATATACTATAGGGCTCATACAATTGGATCTTGGAAAACTCCGATTTCCGACAATGGCGCAACGATCAGCAGAGCCGGCTACTTTGGATCAAGGGCAATCCTGGCAAGGGCAAGACGATGCTCCTTTGCGGAGTTATCAATGAACTAGAGAAGTCTGGGGCTAAGCCGGTTCTTTTATCTTACTTCTTTTGCCAGGCTACCGACTCCCGAATCAACTATGCTACAGCCGTCTTATAGAGTCTGATCTATTTGCTTGTTGATCAACAGCCGTCTTTCATTTCGCATTGTAAGGGTTAGAACCCATGTGGATGTTCGACTTCTATGCTGTTCTCCAAATTTCTAGAATCATCTACAGTCCTTTCTCTCTATTATATATATGGAGACACTTTCATGTACATAGTCCTCATGCACTTCTTAACAGATTTACCTGAACCTATGCCTTTGAGTTATTCGAGGTCTAGCCTCTCACATGTCCGAACAATATTTGAAAAGGATATTCCGTTTTGGATTAAGCAGAAGCCTATAGTAGAATCATATTGGAATGCGATGCTACAAACGCTTGAAGGCTATACAAGCTACGTTCACTTAGTCGCTTTTTCGCTTGATGGCAAGCAGGTCGTATCTGGATCTTGGGATAATACAGTACGGCTTTGGGATACAGCGACAGGGCAACAAATTCAGCCAACACTTGAAGGCCATACAAGAATCGTTTACTCAGTTGCTTTTTCGCCGATGTTAAGCAGGTCATATCTGATTTGGATAATCCAATATTGCTATATACTTTAGCCGTATCAGATGACTGGATTACTAGAAATAGTACAAATATTCTTTGGCTACCATCTGATTATCGCACAACAGTCACTACCATTCATCGTGATTCTGTTGTTTTAGCACAACCCTCTGGGAGAACTTTTTTTGAATTTCCATATAGATCAGAATTCATGTAATACAGGTTGCTCTGACAGTCGGTCATGTGATATTGTAGGATCTACAGTAGATTCTACTATAGCTGGCACAACATCGAAGGGCGCTACAACATCTATTCTATACCCTTTAGCTAGTTTGTTCAGTTTATGTATAATTCAATAGAAACCAGATAACGTCCATCCCTGCGTAGCGAGACACCTTGTGTGCCGAGATAGACTAACGAAATTGAATGACTTTTGAGATAAATATATTGCTACATTAAGAGAAATAGTGTGAAGAACATATTACAAAGTCTGAATATGAACATTTTTTAGTGTTGTTGGTTTCAAAGAGATAACTACTCTATTTATCTGATAATTAGGTAAAGTTATATTATTCTCTTTCTACTAAGGATCAATCTCTAGTTCATTTGTCTGCCATTCAAGTAATATTACACGGGAAGACAATGTATTAGGGTGATTAGTACCTATAATCCTAGTCAGTAATAATACACATTCTTCCATAAGCTTAAGGGCCTCTTTATCTCGGCCAAGTCCCTTCCATATGAGGGCAAGATTATTCATGCTGGTCAGCGTGTTTGGATGCTCCTGCCCTAACACCCTCAAACTCGTCTCCATCACTTGCACCTCCAAGTCTTCGGCCTCCTTCCAGCGTCCCTGATTCCGGTATGTCGAAGCCAAATTGGCCATGCTGGTCAGTGTATCTGGATGCTCCTGCCCTAACACCCTCAAACTCGTCTCCATCACTTGCACCTCCAAGTCTTCGGCCTCCTTCCAGCGTCCCTGATTCCAAAATGTCGAAGCCAAGTTGTCCATGCTGATCAGCGTGTTTGGATGCTCCTGCCCTAACACCCTCAAACTCGTCTCCATCACTTGCACCTCCAAGTCTTCGGCCTCCTTCCCAGCGTCCCTGATTCCGGTATGTCGAAGCCAAGTTGGCCATGCTGATCAGCGTGTTTGGATGCTCCTGCCCTAACACCCTCTTTCTCGTCTCCATCACTTGCACATCCAAGTCTTCGGCCTCCTTCCAGCGTCCCTGATTCCAAAATGTCGAAGCCAAGTTGGCCATGCTGGTCAGCGTGGAAGGATGCTCCTGCCCTAACACCCTCAAACTCGTCTCCATCACTTGCACCTCCAAGTCTTCGGCCTCCTTCCAGCGTCCCTGATTCCGGTATGTCGAAGCCAAGTTGGCCATGCTGGTCAGTGTGTCTGGATGCTCCTGCCCTAACACCCTCAAACTCGTCTCCATCACTTGCACCTCCAAGTCTTCGGCCTCCTTCCAGCGTCCCTGATTCCGGTATGTCGAAGCCAAGTTGGCCATGCTGGTCAGTGTGGAAGGATGCTCCTGTCCGAAAACACTCTTGTGCCTCTCCATTACTTCCACAAACGGTACCTCAGCCTCATTATATCGTCCATCACTAAGGAGACACGCCCCAAATCTCCGCGACAGAGCAATCCGGGTTTCCCCATCTTTGCCAGCTTCATCAGACATTAGCGCATAACATACGTGTGGCAAATACGTCCTCCATGTAGTTCTATTTTGGTGGTCATCGTCTGGGAATACTTCCTCTAATCGTATAATCGCCCTTTCGGTCCATTGGGTGATCAGATCATTTTGCTGAAGCCAATTTCTCGTTGCGAGATGCACTAGTCGGTGAAGATCAAGAGCTTGGTCTGCCACTCGCTCAATAATAAACGAGTAAGCGTCAAGTGTCCCAATTGCATCTATCTCCTTTTTTCGAGACCTTCCTGCCGGAAGAAGAGACTGGGGAATATCCTTGGGGTCTATACACGCCATAAACGATAGGTAGTCGGCTGCAAGGGGGTCCCGATACCGTATCTGTTCAAACGAGATGAGCCACGTTGTAGCCACGGGGTTTTTTATATTATTGTATCTCCCGTCGTCTTCAAACTCCTCGCTAAGGAGATCAATAACATCCTCTTCTTGCTCTGCAAGGAGGGATAGATAATCCGCGAACGCAATCCCATTCTCGTTAATATATGCTGCTGCCTGAACAATAGCAAGCGGAAGGTATGTGAGCTCTTTTAGTAGGGCCGTTGTATCTGGTCTATTGTTAACCAGATCTGGATCAACTAAACACTTCTGGAGCAGCTGTATCGCTACGTCTTCGCCCATCTCCGGTACCTCTACGATATTTTGGTGTGCAAGCTTAACGGCAGTCTTCCTGTCGCGCGTCGTGAAGACGATACATCCTTGCTCACTTCGTGGGAGGCAGTCGATTAGACGGCCAGATCCTGACCTAGATACGGTGATCCACATATTGACATCGTCAGCATTATCGAAAACTAAGAGCCACCGGCCTGCGCTTTCTTTGCTCAGGTAATTTTGCACGAGTTTCTTTGCATCGGCCTTATCCTCGTCCGAGCCGGGGATCTTGAGTTGGCGGGCAACTTCTCGATATGCTTGATGAAGACTTTCCGTATTGGTTGCGGGTATCCAGATCACTAAGCAATCCTTATATCTATCCCTTATTCGGTAGACAAGTTCAAGCAACAGCTGGGTCTTGCCTATTCCCCCGAGCCCTGTGATGGCAACTTTTGTCACTCGACCTCCTGTAAATAGTTTTGCTTCCACCTCGGTAAGCTGCGTTCCACGACCGGTAAAGTTGAGATTTCTGCCGAATGGGACAATAAATGAAGCGGTATTATCTATAGAATAGCGTTTAGTATAGTCAAATCAGGTTAGATCTGCCGTACCTTTAAGATCTTTCGGCTCGCTCTCGTTAGTGGAGAACCACTTGACGGTCATTTCGAGCCTTTTCAGTGCGACCTCCTTTCCCTCGCCATAGATTGGTGGCATAGACACCTCGCAGAGGCCTAACAGGCAGTAAACCAGGTCTTCTTCTTCGGTTGTCTGGCGTTGTGCTACCCATCTTTTCCGCTCAGCGATACTAAAATCAGAGAAAGGATCCCCTCGCAGAGCCTGAAATGGAATTCGGGTAATCTCATAAATTGGTTTTTCGAGTGACCTTTTGTCACCAAGTAGCTTGCGCTCTTGAGAGAAGAATTCGACTTCCGCTGGAGCAATAAGTTCTTGAAGTGTCCAGCCTCTAGTAAACCATCTACTACTCCGAAAGGCTACTTCCCACGTGCTCTGGTTTGCTTGGACATATACGTCATCGCCAGGGGTCGATACATCCGTGAGATATACATAGCATTTCTTCGCATTTCGATACCAGCGGAACATAGAATTAATAGCCTTCGAAAGCTCAGTAAGATTCGACTTGTCAATACAACAAGTGTCCACCCAGAAATATCGAAGGCCATCTTTAGCCGCTTGTTCTCCACAAAACTTGATCTTTTTGTAGCCAGACTTGCTTTTCCCAGTACCACTTATTAGATCTTTATATGTGACCTCTTGATCTGTCCAAGTATGTGAAAGGATTGCGTAGGGAAGGGTATCATGGGTGGCAACATGGATCAGGCTGAATTCGCCCGGGCTTTTCATCTCTAAAAGACGCATAATTGCGAACGGCTAGGGATTTCGCGTGTCTAAGGAAGTTGACGTGAGATCAAAATCACAATTTTAGACCAGAATGGAGTGTAGGATAAGATTATCCAATGTCGAGAAATCACAATTCTATACCAGGATGAAGTGTAGGATGAAATTATTGAACGTAGAGTAGCCCTTCGCGCGGTGGGGATGCCTGTAGCATGTGATGCATTTCGTGGCGCAGCGTAACTGGAGCCTGCCTTCGAGTTGTGGCTTAAGCAATCCGTAATCACAATGCCACAATTTAGACGTCGAGATTCAGTACAGCAAATGATTATTAGAGTGCATAATTTAGAGTATATAAAAATTTGATTACAGTAACGAATAAATCATAACAATATTAACTGGAAGGATGTTTTGAGCTATACTGGTTGAGGAAGAATGCACTTTAGTAATCTGGTGATGTTTATTTTTAGAACTGCTTACTAAGCAATATTTAACTTGTGACGACGCCGTGTAAGCGACCCACAAGCTATGAGTACACGTGACTAGAACATGATCTATTTTGTGTATTTAAGCACTTAAGGCACAAAAAGCGAGAACCAAATTTTTGAAATCAAGCTATCCAAACCACATTCAGCAGCCCTCCTTTAGGCCAGTTGATCACCCTAAGCTTGCACGCATTGCCCAGTGTAGTACAAGCGCTATGGGGACACCGTGGCCTCAAGCGGCAGCATGGCCCCACGACACCTACGAGCACGCCACCTTCTTCAGCGATTACCTCAGGAAAGCACTCGTCTGTATTGAAACCGCAGAAGATCAGCCTGTACCCAAGCCACTAGTTAAGACTATGATTGCAGCCATGAGCGTCCTTATCACCAAGTTTCAAAATACTCCAAACGTTAATACAGTTATGCAAGCCATCGCGAACGTACAGAATGACCTTAGAATGACTACAGAGACAATCAAAACCACAGCAATAACAGTTCAGCATACAGCAGAAATGCATCAACAGATAGCGATGATGTTGGGTTTCTTAAGACCAGAAAGAGTATCAGATTGAATTGATTTATTCTCTAGCTAAGCAGTTAAGCTGCGAGCATATATTCAAAAAAATGAAGGAATAGGTTGGGTATTCGGCCTTCGGAATTAAAGTGCTTTGAAATCAAAATATTGAAAGCAAACAAACAGTATACCAAAAAGGAAAGAATGAATTAAAAGTTGAGTTTTGTTTGCTCCTTATATGCATAACGTAAGTCATGGCGTAATGCGTCTAATGGCGTAATGCGTCTAATTGCGGGGAACCACTCTATTAAAATCTCAATTACTCAACAATCAACTATAATACAATCTCCAATATCACTTTCAGATTCATCTTCAACTTCTTCTCCAATATCCTCTTCAGTTTCAGTCTCATATTCAATTACTTTCCCTTTCCCTTTTCCTTTTTTCATTGTCTGTACTTTAGTAGCTTTTTCGGCTTCCACTACTGCATCACATAATTCTTGCGTAGAAATATGAAAATGACCCTTCAAAACTAGTCTCTTTCCTTTCTTACGTATCGTACGTTTCTTCATAATAGCTCGTAAATTATTCGCATCGTGTTGGTGAACAATACTTTGAGCTCGAAGTTGCTCACTCCCAATCGTCAATTTTCGAATGTATTGACGAACCAGGGTTGAAAGAGTTGTATCATTTTCAATTGTTGAATTTAAAAGGTTATTTGCTGTTTGTAAGATTGCTACATCCGGGGGTGAGCTATTGATGAAGACTTGATTAAAAATATCAAATTGGGTTGGTTCTTTGGATATTTCGGCTTCGGGGGTAAACTCTCGACCCAGTGTACGGAACACTCTCTGTGGATTAAATGGATGTAACCCAGCTCCCCGCCATGCCGATTCGATATTTTGATGATGGCATACATCGGCTCGAGCTTTAATATATGCCTCCATCCATTCAATCTTTTGTATTCGTACAAGTTGAGCTTGATTCAAATCAGAAAGTGCTGCGGTGAGCCGTTTTTTCAATGGACCGAAAACCGCAACATCAAGTGGCTGAAGCAAATGCGAGGTATGAGGAGGAAGTATAAGAAGTACAATTCGATTTTGAAGGCAGTGAGCTATAAAGCTTCCACTAATATGAGAATCGTGGCCATCGCAGATGAGAAGCCGATATTTGCCATCTGCTTTTGCACGAGTTGCAGGTTCGAAAACGCGTTTTAGCCATTCTAATCCATGAAGATTGCTTGTCCAGCCCTTTGTATTTGCTGAAAAGAACCAGCTACCAAGAACTTCCTTCGGAATCCAATTTTGAAGGACGTTTTTACCTTTAAAAATCCCGAGTGGTGGAAGAATGGATCCATCCGCACAAATACACTCTACCATTGAAATCCACTCTTGACGGCCTGGATGTGCTTGATGTTTTGTACGAAGTGTAGAATCGATAATAATTCGGGTTGATTCCATTGTCCCAATTGAATGTCCAGATTCATCCATATTGTATTCGTCTTTCTTCTCAATTCCATAATCCTGAATCGCTTTTTGATACGCGTCAAACCAAGTACTACATGTTTCCCTGGTTGCACCATCCATTCTTACAGATTCAATTCGACGGCCAATAACAACTGTAAGATGAGGATGTCGTTTGATAAATCGTGGAACCCATTCATGACCAAGAAGGTGTTGTGGTAGGAGTTCAAGGGAGTCAAATGAGGGGCAATCCAAATTATAAGTCCGTTTTGAACGTAACTCCTCAGCCAATTCTTTTAACAACTGATGGCCTGGTGAATAGCCGCTAATTGTCAATTGCTTTATCCACTTAAGAAGTACATTCTCTTATACAGCAGAAAGTTTCTGTTGCGATTGACGTGCTTCAGAACGCGATGAACCCCCTTTGACGCGTCGCGTCACAGTATCTTTAGAAAGCCCCAGTTCTTTTGCAGCTTCATATGAAGACTTATACTTTCCATTTTGAACTCCTAATACTGCTTCAGCAAGTCGAGATTCCATTTCCTGCACTTTTAAACTTTTTCGACGGACCATTGTTGAATTGTTGCTTTTTTGATGGGGTGGTCCCCCACAATTAGACGCATTACGCCATTAGACGCATTACGCCATGACTTACGTTATATGCATATGCTGCCAAGATCCCAGGAGGTCAACATAGACTCAGTGTAGACGTTAATTTAATCAATCAATCAATCAATTAGAAGATTGAGGCTTTCAATCCCCCCAACCTGTATTAGCTACGGTCGATTGATTGATTGATTGATTGATTGATTTTATTAACGTCCATCTTCAGTCCAAGACTATATAGGACGGCTAGGCCCTAAGGGCCTAACGGGTAACTTTTTAATTTACAATATTGGATATGATCTAATTGGGGAAGTGAAAACAAATGCTGGGGAACAGTGCCCGCTCATTATACGCATTGCATATAATAAAAAGATTTTGAAAATCAAGAAATTGTGAGGAGGTCAAACCCCTCTCTTATTTCCTCAACTGCTTCTTCTTCATTCTCTTCTCCTCTCTCCTCTTCCACTACTACTCCTTCCTCTATTACTTCTTGTTCAAGAGTCCTTGCTAGATGCCATGCCCTTGTAGCGATTTTAGTGATATTGATAAATTTGATAGCTAATTCGATACCTATTTTTGTATGCAATAGGAATTGTATAGTGTTTTTGGATAATGGTATCTTCTTAAAGATCTCTTTTCTTTTTGTTTTATATATAGGACAGCTAATAAGGAGGTGTTGTGGTGCCTCAATATTACTGCATATACATTTGTTATTGGTGAGTTTGAAACGATGTAAGTAGGATTTGATATATCCGTGACCTAATTTGAGTTGAAAGAATGCGCTAGCAGTATTTCGAGTAGTTCCGCTTGGTAGCTTGATTTTGGAACCTATTTTCCATGGAAATAGCTTCGAGTAAGTTGATGGGGATTGGTTTGATCTGAGTTCGTATTGTTTGAGAGTATCAAGCCATTGATCTGAGGCATATTCTTTGACAGTCATACCTAGTAGTCCAAAGCTTGTTTCGTTCGAGGTAGGTTGTATTGTGGTTGCTTCCTTGGCTAGCTTATCTGCTAGCTCATTTCCTTCAACTGAGGTATGACCAGGAACCCAATTTAAGGAGATTTCGGCTCCTTTTGCTCTGATAACTTCTGCTGCTTTGATCGCTCTTATCTGATTGGCTTGTCCTGGGTGATCTGAAGGAGTTTTTAAGCGGTATAAACCAGCTTGATTATCTGAGTAGATTTTGAACTTTTGACCAGTATAAGCGATTGAGCTAGCGTATTCAATAGCTCTTGTAACTCCAAAAAGCTCTCCATTATATACCAATAGCTACGGTCGAATAAGGCCAGCTACCCCCTATGTAGTATTGTTAGAAGCCTACAAAGCTCCTAGCCGTCTTAGATAGTCATAGACTCAGTGTAGATGTTAATTTAATCAATCAATCAATGAGTATATAAATAATAATTCTTTAATAAAGAGAAAATCTATTATAACGTAATGTATGGGGAACTCGGACATATGGGGAACTCGGACACTTTTTCAATTATTCTACACGCGATCTTGTTCTACGAGCCACACAATCCTCCAATTCCAATTCTGAATCATTTGAACTATTCTCTAGCTCTTCTTCTTCAATCTCTTCTTCTGATTCTTCAATTGGGCGCTTGCGTGGTCGTCCTCGTGGCTTTTTCTCCTTAGGTTTTTCCTTCGCCTCATGTACTATTTTCAGTATTTCCTTAGTACTAAAGACAAATTGACCTTGTAATTTGACTCTTTTGCCTTTAGTTCTCTTTTTTCGAGTCTCAATTACTTCCTGAGCATCAGCGAGCTGTTTCCGAAGTAAGGCTATCTCAGCATTTTGAGATTCTACAAGCCTAGTCATTCTCTTGATATATCGATGAGTTGGTGATGCAGGAGAACCATTGCTTGCTAGAGCTGTATTAAAGATCTGATTTGCTTGTATTAGTTCTGTTCTATCTGGAGGAGAACTTCTGAGTACAGATAAGTCTAGGTCTTGATTGGGGGTTCTCATTTGTGGAGTAGAAGGTTGTTGGGAGGAGTTAAATGGTAATGTATCGAGTACTTTTCGTGGGGCAAAAGGTACTAAACTAGCTCCTCTTCAGCCAGCTTTAATATTAGAAGAATTCAATGCTTTTTTTCTAATATTTTGAAAGAGTTCTACCCATTTAGCTCTTTGAATTCGCTTTACACCAGTTCGAGAATATCGATCGATCTTCAAAGCATGATATCGTTTCATTGGCCTATACACTACAATATCAAGTGACTGAAACAAATAAGAGCAATAAGGAGGTAATATAAGTAAATCGATATCCTTCTCTATACAGAAAGCAATAAAGCTGTCTGTAATATGATTTGAATAGTCATCCATGATCAAAAGTCGAGGTCGGTCATCTGACATTTCCTTGGATTCTGGTTCGAAAACCCTTTTTAGCTATTCTTGTTGGTACGAGAAGGATACGGAAGACGTAGCACCCACGGATTACGTAGGTCCTGTATGTCTAATGTAACGATACTGTACCGGAGGCAGCGGCTGCCTGAGGTTTCGTCTGATTGGTAGTTGTGGGTTAAGGCTTTATCACTAGTCTTCACTTGGAAGTGAAGTCGTTACTAGATCAAGTAGAATGTAGGTAAACTAATTGATAACTAAGTTGAGCACGAAGCTCCTAAACTATGAAACTACTCTGACTATATACTGAACAATAAAGGGGGCCCCTAGGAGCTTTCTGGCTCCTCAAGACTCCTTATCACGCGATTTCTGATGGTGCGTGCGCATACGATCTTCAGGTGACCAAGATCACATAC